TTCAGCTGCTTACATTAAGGCATAGGATCAATATGAATATGCCTAAGGCTTCAACTGCCAAAACTGTACCATTAGATGGGTGTTTGCTTCAAAAGCTGTTTCAGGCTCTACTGGTTACAAAAACAAGCTTGAAAATGTGAGCAGCAAGAACTTGTAATTCATGCCAAACAAGAAGTTGCCTGGTCTCAGGAACTGCCACATTCAGCTGCTTACATTAAGGCATAGGATCAATATGAATATGCCTAAGGCTTCAACTGCCAAAACTGTACCATTAGATGGGTGTTTGCTTCAAAAGCTGTTTCAGGCTCTACTGGTTACAAAAACAAGCTTGAAAATGTGAGCAGCAAGAACTTGTAATTCATGCCAAACAAGAAGTTGCCTGGTCTCAGGAACTGCCACAGTAGGCCACTGATTTAAGAGTGGACTGTTTCTCAGGTGGGGCAAGAGTTCCTGGTAGGCTCCACAGGTTTATTGCTCTGTTGGTGGCACTTAAACCCCTCCTCTGGATACTCCCAGCCTGTCAGTCTCTGCTAGTCATGGTAAGGGCTGAAAGTTGTGGTGCCTCATGCCATCCTGCCAGCATGCACCTGTAGTGCTGGGAAAATGCTGCTCCCATAGGCTGAGCAGATAGGGGAGCTCACCTTTTTGTTGCAAGGAGTGAAGTGGCTCTCAATGTTGCCCCATCCCTAATCACACTTGAACATCTGAATAGCTCTCCATAACAATTTTGGATCTCCTCAAGTGCCATATGTTTTTTTCCTTCCACCATGCTAAGGTTTTTATTTTTCTTTTCTATACAGAGCTTGAGAAATGAGATAGCAGAATTCTGGAATACTGATCCACCATTACCTTTCTCAGTTTAGTCCCTGTGGTCCTTCTCACTTCAGAACTTCATTCTCTGTGTTCTCTCTCTTTGCTGCAGGCAAGCTAACAAGTCTCTTACCAGGGACTCTTCAGCCTTCCCACTTCTCTGGAGCGAATTTCTCAGTAGCTGGGGCAGTTTGGGATGATAAGACATGAGGTTACAGTCTGACCAGCTTCAAGTGTGGTCATCATCCATTGCTTTTCCACAATTCCTCTCTGCTCACAAGGACGAATGTATTGCTTTCCCAAAAGCTATCTGAAAAAAAGAGCTCAGAATCACATGGCACAGAAAACATGAGAAATACAGATCAAGTCCTAGCAGCACCTGTGGGCAAGTGCGATATACCAAGTACAAATGAAGGGGCTCTAGTTTTGCATGGAGCTGTTTGCCTGTGTTGAGCCATACCAGTTTGCAATCCTTAGGACTGCCTCTGTCCTAGAAGAGCTTATCCCTTGCAGAATCAAGGGTTCTTGTTTCACGTGACTTGTGGGGCAAAAGGACATACTGCTTCTACTCTAGTAGCAGAGAGGTTCCCTGGCTGGTGCCAGAGCCTTCAGCAATTTCCAGAGAATTGACCCAAGGAGTGTAAATAGCAGCTCCAAGGACTGCAGAGTGCTGAGCATGCTTTTTGGCTTTTGTTTAAAAAGACTTGGTTTACCCATGTTCTTCTGGAGCTCTGTCTTGTTCATTCTCCTTATATGTATAGCCAAGCCAGAAAATGGAGTATTTTGAGTCATAAAAGATTTCAAATTTGAAAAACCTATTTTAATATCTGTGAATTCTATGCTCAAAACAGAAATCTGTGTCACACATACCACAGGAGTGTCATAACTATTGTGTCTGTCTTTATGGAAGCCTCAGGCAGGATATTCCTTGACTTTCCAGCTTTTTCTTCAGGCTTTTCAAATAATACATTCATTGACACTTAATATACTGTATGTAAAGTATGAATTTCATTGTTTGAGCCCTAGTTAGAAAGGTGAGTATTGTAAAGAAGTTTAAATGATAGTTTCTGGGGCTTGCTGCTAACAACCACACTGCTAGAGCCAGGTCAGAGTTTGTAGTTAAAGGATCATGTAACCATTATATAACTAACAAGGAAGATAGCTCCAGGATGTGAGCAGGTAATGAATTGGAGCACTCTCTAGAGTGCTGTTGGTGCCGTGTACAGCTGGAGAAACTAAGGCCAACTGAGCTTAAGTGATGATTGTACTGGAGCAGAGGATGGAGACAGGGCTGTGTGTTCTCAGTGTCCTCATTAGGAAGATGGTATGCTGCCTTCACTCTGTAAATTCATTGTTCGATTTTTCCACTTAAACTAAACTGTTCCAGATTGCTTAATTTAAAGGAAAGGATAGAAAGGTTTAAAGCTTGTGTTAGCACATATCCAAACGACGAGGAAAACACAATACTACTGAGTTGGGCTGGAGTTTAACTTCTAATCACATAGTTCAAGCTTGAATTTTTGCCTTGGGCCTGGTCCTCCATTAGTTAAGAAGTTTAAAATGAATGAGAGAGAAAATCCAGCCTTTGGATATATGGTTATATAGAGGGATGCACAGAATACCTTCTCAGTAAACTTTTTTCAGTATAAAAATGTAGATTTGGTATCTACATGGGCGTTTGCATTTATTTTAATCTTGTAATGCACATAGTTTCACTCAGCCCAGTGACTTGTCACACACTTGATCTTCATGGAGACAACTCATGGTTTAAATTTCACAAAATGTGTAGTGGTGGCTAAACCTCACAGTGGAATAAATTATCATTAAAATTAAGTAGCATGCCCCAAACAAACCAAATTTTGTGTTGGGTTAGCATGAGAATTTTTTTCATGTCATGTTTTGAAGAGTTTTTTTCCAAAGTATGACACTGAATGGAAGCACAGTGATGCTTACAGAGTGACAGTACTTTGGAGTAAACCATCCATGACAGGGCATTGGTGCTAAAGGGAGTTCTTCACTCATCTGTTGGCTGTGTTGTTATTTTGATTCTCTGGTGCTTTCCCCATCTGTAAAACAGACAGAACACTAGTGAAAGAAGACAAATATCAGGCACCTTGATAGAAACCTGACAGAAATTTCTCTATGTTTGTGAGAGAGAGGAATATAGGGTGACTACATAGTGTGATGTTAACAATGCATTTGGCATAGGGTTATTTTCAGACTCTGCAAGAGTTGTATGTATGTTGATGGGTGAAGTAGGTGATGCTGGGAAAATTATTGTAATTTTAGTAAAATAAGTCTTGAGCTTATTCTCCTTGTGTTAAAAATAAATATGCCTTAGTATCTATGGCATTTAAGTCCAAAAATACCTGAAATGGGTTAATACATGAACTCTATCTGACCTACGTAATTTAAAACCATCACTTCAAATGCTGATGCATCTAGTCATATATAGTCTGGTTATATATTTTTACATGTCACAAAAAATATAGCTGTTTGGGAATGGGCATTTTCTGTTCAGGTGTTCATGTGCTCATCACCCTGAAGAGTAGTGTGTGGGTGGGAAGCTCTGTTCAGTTCAGCAAGGGGAATGCTTAGCATCTGTGCTAAATTTTAATTT